CATGTGTTCTAGGTCTATCGCCATCTATAAACATTCTAGGGTCTGTACTCACTCTAACGACATGTGTTCTAGGTCTATCGCCATCTATAAACATTCTAGGGTCATTATTCACTCTAACGACATGTGTTCTAGGACTGTCACCATCTATAAACATTCTAGGGTCTGTATTAACTCTAACGACATGTGTTCTAGGTCTATCGCCATCTATAAACATTCTAGGGTCTGTACTCACTCTAACGACATGTGTTCTAGGTCTGTCTCCATCTATAAACATTCTAGGGTCTGTACTCACTCTAACGACATGTGTTCTAGGTCTGTCACCATCTATAAACATTCTAGGGTCTGTATTCACTATAAGGACATGTGTTCTAGGTCTGTCACCATCTATAAACATTCTAGGGCCTGTATTCACTCTAACGACATGTGTTCTAGGTCTGTCACCACCTACATACATTCTAGGGTCTGTCATCATGCATATTCATATTATGCTGTTGTTTGACTTTCGTTCTTTTCTTAGCATGATTAAGCTGGCTTATGTTGACCTACACCTCAATATGTGGACCACGTTAACAGTCAGACCACCATCAACTCTTACTAGTGCAAAAGACAATTATTGACCGATATTGGGTCAACACTGTATAACCTACCAGGGGCTACTGACCTGCATTTCTGTGTCAGCCTCTGAACCAGACACTACTTTCTCTATGGTAAGCCAGCCTGTGTATTGTGGTTGCAATAATAACTATAATAGTACATTCCAATGTACCCTACTATGTCTATAACTATAATAGTACATTCCAATGTACCCTACTATGTCTATAACTATAATAGTACATTCCAATGTACCCTACTATGTCTATAACTATAATAGTACATTCCAATGTACCCTACTATGTCTATAACTATAATAGTACATTCCAATGTACCCTACTATGTCTATAACTATAATAGTACATTCCAATGTACCCTACTATGTCTATAACTATAATAGTACATTCCAATGTACCCTACTATGTCTATAACTATAATAGTACATTCCAATGTACCCTACTATGTCTATAACTATAATAGTACATTCCAATGTACCCTACTATGTCTATAACTATAATAGTACATTCCAATGTACCCTACTATGTCTATAACTATAATAGTACATTCCAATGTACCCTACTATGTCTATAACTATAATAGTACATTCCAATGTACCCTACTATGTCTATAACTATAATAGTACATTCCAATGTACCCTACTATGTCTATAACTATAATAGTACATTCCAATGTACCCTACTATGTCTATAACTATAATAGTACATTCCAATGTACCCTACTATGTCTATAACTATAATAGTACATTCCAATGTACCCTACTATGTCTATAACTATAATAGTACATTCCAATGTACCCTACTATGTCTATAACTATAATAGTACATTCCAATGTACCCTACTATGTCTATAACTATAATAGTACATTCCAATGTACCCTACTATGTCTATAACTATAATAGTACATTCCAATGTACCCTACTATGTCTATAACTATAATAGTACATTCCAATGTACCCTACTATGTCTATAACTATAATAGTACATTCCAATGTACCCTACTATGTCTATAACTATAATAGTACATTCCAATGTACCCTACTATGTCTATAACTATAATAGTACATTCCAATGTACCCTACTATGTCTATAACTATAATAGTACATTCCAATGTACCCTACTATGTCTATAACTATAATAGTACATTCCAATGTACCCTACTATGTCTATAACTATAATAGTACATTCCAATGTACCCTACTATGTCTATAACTATAATAGTACATTCCAATGTACCCTACTATGTCTATAACTATAATAGTACATTCCAATGTACCCTACTATGTCTATAAGTGCCCCTATGTATCGATTTCTTACCTGAGAAATCAGACACTGAATATTACAGATGAAGTCAAGGATAAAGGGCAGATGATGAGTAAGATTTATCAACAGTTGTTGATATATCCAGTCATTATGTGTATTTTGACATGACTTGAAGTGATTGGTGTATTTGGGTACACACACCATTAGACAGTATTGTGGCCATCTGTAGCGATCACAGTGCAGCAGCTGGCTCTTTAACTTATCCACCTTTAACAACTAACCATCACTTCCCCACAAATTGGTAACACCTGCATTACAATGTTCATATTGACGAGTCCAAAGTTTTAATTAGATTGATTGATCAATTCGTAATGGCCTATATGTCAACACTAAAAAAGGTCATAAAGGGGTCTAACAGTGCAAACCTAGATACAAAGAGAGTGTAGTTAGTGTAGAATTGATGACTATACCAGCCTTGAACACTGACATAGGAGAACTTATACACTGGTACCTCCTGTATCAGACCATGTGTTGAGGGATGTCGATCTGGGTACCTGGCACTCCATAGAAAGTCAATAGCCATATCCACAAATACAGCCTCAACAAACCATATATTCTATCCGCTCTAAATCAAGCTAACACGTATAGGATAATATGGATCTATAGAGAATAGGGTGTACAAAGTTACACACAATGCAGGCTGTTTATAAAATTGATTATTTCAAATTTGTCACTTTTGAGAAAACTTGCATGCATTGGAATTTCATGTATATATATCAGCACAATTTCAATATAATATTGAAGTTTTATTGAGAAATTGTTTCCCCACTTAATGTCTGGTCTGGTAAGTGACAATGATATACAAATAATGTATTTCATTTAGCAGTCACGAGTAATATGCATGATAGCTTTGAAAACAGCTGGCCTGGCACCATATGCATCCCAACCAGATTAGTACATAAATGTGCAAGGGTACACTGAATGTTATCTCTTTTAAAACCAAATTAATCCGCAAAGAAATAAAAAAAATCACCATTGAAATTCAGAGTTATAAACTTTATGTCAGAAAGACATACATTCTTAACGATTTTCAGACACTGGGAAATAACAGATGATGTATGGAGTTAAATATGTCCTTTTTATACCAGCTTTGTTATCAGTTTGTGTCATGTAACAAGGCATCAGGTGTGGAGCTGAATCTGCTGGGATTACATGGCTTAGATCTACTAGACATATAATAACACTTGTGTACAATGGTGGTGTTGACACCACAAATATAGGACTGAAACAATAATACATCTAAACCTACACAAGAGCAGATATAGAATACAGTGACAAGCATCACCATGGAAACGAAACAGCAACTGTAAGTGTGGGCAAGGGCGTAGGCGGAGGATATAATGAAAGGGTGACGGCTCAATGAAGGAAGAGAATAGGATGTCCTCCTGTAGCACACTAAAAGGCAATAATATTGGAGTTTCACAAATCAGGATTTATATCTACAGTGATCAGCATCTATAATGTGCAGGAAGAGTGAATTATTGTTGATTATCTTATTTCAGCATTTTTAATTGATGTTAAAACATTGAAAACTAGAACTGTAAGCCAAAGGCTAACTAATACGCCCGCTCATATATAAACCAGAACTGTAAGCTTTAAGCCTTACTAATGCAAAGCAATATAGTCTCCCACCAGTAATGAGTTAATCACTATTTTATATAAAAACAAAAACAAAAAATAACAGAAAAATAAACAAGTATTTCGCACAAAGGGGCATAACTCCATCAAAAAGGGTTGAAATCCCAAATTAAAATGCCAGTGCACAACTACAAAAGATACCGATCATTCATGCAAAGTTTCAATAAAATCCACTTGCCAGTTAAGGAGGTGTCAAGTATTTCGCACAAAGGGGCATAACTCCATTAAAAAGGGTTGAAATCCCAAATTAAAATGCCGGTGCACACTGACAGCTACATAAGATACCTATCATTCATGCAAAATTTCAATGAAATCCGCCTGTTAGTTAAGGAGGAGTTGCACGGACAAGTATTTCGCACAAAGGGGCATAACTCCACAAAAAAAGGGTCTAAATCCAAAATTAAAATGCTGGTGCACAACTACATAATATACAGATCATTCATGCAAAGTTTCAATGAAATCCACCTGTTAGTTAAGGAGGAGTTGCGCGGACAAGTTACTGCGGACGACAGACAGACAGACAGACATCCAGACAGGGCGATTCCAGTATACACCCCCTAACTTCGTTGCGGGGGGTATAATAACTGCTGAACTAAATTTGCTACAGTAGGAGGAAACGATTGAGGAAATTGATGAATATGGTAGAGAGGAAATATCAAGGAGATTAATAAATAAGTGAGGCTAATTTTGCATATAGACTAAAATATCATTAATACCTCAATACTCCCATTCCTATGCAAATTCATGTTTGCACAAAGTATTAAGTTTGTTTAAAGTTTTGATTTAAATCTGACAGGATTCCTGAATTAATGTCTCTGAATTAGCTGACAAATTTCCGTAAATAGTGACAGTGAAGTTAGATCATAATATGTTTATAAATGAAGTTGCTAGAGCAATGACACTGAATTTGGAATAGGACAAGATATAACAGGATATAGAGTGGGGTAAAACTGAACGCTCCCTGTAAAATAGTAGGGGCATTAATTGTCAAAATTGACCCCTAAAACACAAGCAGCATAGTGGGACAACTAGATTAGTGGTGACTGGATAGTAGGACAACTAGATCAGCTGTGACTGGATAGTAGGACAACTAGATCAGCTGTGACTGGATAGTAGGACAACTAGATCAGCGGTGACTGGATAGTACAATCTGAACACTGTTGTTGATGATATTTTGCTAAACCTTTTCGTTTTTCATAAAAATCCTGCAAGGTACTGTTTTCCTTTCAGAAAAAAACTGATCAAAGCTATAGTCATGTAGGGGAAAACTGTTTCCAATGTGTGGTTACAGAGATTCTTAACCCTTTCACCCTATGTAACTTAAGTACACTCTACCATGCATTGATATGGATGAGTCCATTATGGTCTACAGTGGTGAAAGGGTTAAGGGGAAAGCAAGGGAAGACATGACATTGTATAAGTACAATACCTGTAGACAGATGATGTCTGCTGCACAGTGTTTGATCTCTTCCATGATGCCCTTCTTCCTGTACTCCCAGTTGAGGGCCCAGGAGGGGCAGTACCCGTACAGCTGCCTGGTGCAGTACTTATCACATAGTACATTGTAGCACATCACAGTGAAGATGGCTGAAACACAAACGATGTCAATAAATATCAAACTGTATTATGTGATTACCTTTCACAAACAGGACACAGGAATTAACCCCATGACTTGCCTCTCTGCCACCTGTGACACTAGGTCTATCAAACAGAAACTTTTAAGATGAATCCTCCTAGATTCTTTTTTCTAAAATTCTTACATTTAAGTTCTGGATCACAAGTCTAATCTTATCAAAACAAGTATGCACTAATTTTTTGATGCAAGTTTCAACCACATTTTTACCAAATAAATTATTCCCCGTACTTTGTCAAGACAACATGACCTAATTAAGTCAACTTTAATCACATAAAAAAACCTTCTGATTCTCAATTTATATTTTGTAAAAATGTATAGATATACACTTGTATTAATCTAGTGATCATTTCAACTGTTTCTCTATAGCTGCTGGTTTATTATTGGCTATCGAGCCTTCATTAGCACCGAGACACCAGGTCTGGTACATGTAATGCTTCCTCAGCAACTTTAATGGAGACCTCATTAATGTTAAAGGGACAAAATGTGCTGGAGGAAGTCGACCAAGGTTGTCTGGTCAGTTTAAGGTAGGCAGCAGGTCAAGTGATTTTAATGACCACCTATCAATAAACAGCACTAGTCACAACAAGGCTAATTACCCTATGCTCAGAACTAATGTCAATTCACTAGGTATACAAGTATGTTAACTAAATGGGGAAAAAAGGAACCATCTGAAACAAGGAAAACAAATTTGACATTTTATAAGCATTCATTTGAAATAAGTGTTATTTTTAGTTTCACATTATTTGATCACTGGGACAAACATGTATAATGTTTCAGTTTCTTTCTTCAAATTTTTTCAAAGGTATGATTTTGTTTTGTTTTTATCGCAATCACAAAATTAATGAAAATCAGGTGATCTCTTGGTGTCTCTTAGCCTTCTACTCGACGTAACTAACTACTTGCCAGAATCATAAGATTTCTTGCTATTAATTTCATACCTCATTAACCCAATATAGCATGCATCGCTCATTAATATACATTGTTAGTTATGGTCAGGGTTATAAATGTATGTAGCCCCACAGGACATACAGTGTATAAACAATTTATATAGACAGTATATACACAGGGGAGCTCCAGGAAGGACCCCTAATCAGGTACAATGATAGAGTGGTACAGGTTGTATATGATGCCCTATCACAGGAGAAATGTCACCCTCCACACACTTTAACACTGGCCACCAACCAAGCATGTATGCTTTATACTCAAACTACATAATCAGTGTGCTCCATTCCACCTCCCATGGTGATATCTATATAACATCCTCACCTTAGGTCTACCTCCTATAATAACAATTAATATACTATAGCTATTTGTTTTCTTTAAGATCAATTGTAGTTTTTCATAAAAAAATAATCAGCATTTTTATAATTTTGAAAAGTGACAAAGACATCAAATGATAGGATGATAAATGCTATAAACCAAACGAAGCCCTGTTTGCACCTCTGCTCCAATAGTATTTTTAAAATGAATATGAGCACTGTTTTCAACCTAACAAGTACCCATACTCTACATATGGTTGGTTGTTCCCATTTATTACAGCATCACAATTAACTGACTTGTTTGAGAGAAAAAATATGCCTATCATGACCCACCCTTTTTAGGACTTTAGGAAGGTTTTGCAATCATTCTAATTTTCTCAAATAGCCAAGCAACTAGGGCGTTGACTATACAGAAACATGTTTGCTGCAGTGTAATTTTAGCCTTTTTTACCTTCTCTAATGCAAATTTATCATTACAGCTTATTCAAGTAAACTACATAATATTCAAAGTAATTAAACGTCAAGGGCGAAATAAACACTGGGTGAAAAATTGATTTCATTGGCAATGGATGAAAGTGTGACTTGGTGAACATTTCACAATATACAGTGTTAGGTCAAAGGCTGTGGACTCCAAGGACTGAAAACAAAATTGATAACTTGGTGATGAAGATTTATCCCTTGGATGTTTGATCACAATCAGGGGTAACAGTAATCACAACTATCCGTAAAATCTATCATCTGTTGTTAGGATTTCATTATAGCGTTATGTGTGGGGATTTTGTTTTTACAAATTTAACGTTGATTACAGTTATCCCATAGGCATTAGAGGTTTTCTGTCTCAACCTTACTTCTCACTATTTCATGTACTGCATGTGATTAATACTCTACATAGATGTGATTTCATTGGTCAAATCCCTAATTATGACATCACATAACCAAGTTTTGAATGTTGTTGCATGATAATGATTTAAATCAACTGTTTCTCTATAGTCACAAATTGGGATAATGTTTCCAAGAGAAATGATTATCCAGAAATAATATGAACATTTTGTGAGACAAGGGTTACAAATCTTGTGAGGATTAGTGATCATGTTTCTAAATCTATTTCTGGTTAATTAATTTTCAAATTGTAAAAGTACAATGATAAAAGCCAAGTGTCTTAAACAATTTGAAAATTAACAAATGAAAGTTGGATAGATATTGAAGTTAAATTAAGACAAGTTATGACCTTTATATTATTTAAGTAATTAAACTCAAAGCTTATTAATCATGATCATGATCATTGTGAACTCACACTGTTTACTATATAGTTATTGTGTTTGGCTAGGAGTGTATTATCGTATTAGGTAGTACTCTACATACAGTTTAATTTACCACTACCGAAAAGATTATGATTCAGAACAGTTAAATAGTGCATTGTGTTGAGTTTGACCTTAAATGACCGGTACAGTAACACCTGCAGCCGTCTGACAAGCTCTGTACTCGGGCACCTCATTTTTCATCCCTCCTCGACCCCCACACTGACAGAAAAATATGACCTCATCACTTTAGACAGCAGCAATGATCCTGTACGATACTGCATGTGTTAGCCCCTTACCAATTAATTAGCAAAGTATTTATGTCAAAAGTGTAGCTGTGTGTATGCATACCAGCCATATCATTCACGGTGCTGTGACTGCATTAGGTTTATATTATAAACCTAACAACCTGAAAACATAACCCTGAGAACTACATTAACTCATTCACCCCTGAAATTTCATAAGGAACTATTCCAACATTTGAATTGTAAGAGTTCAAATGTATCTTCAGGAGTGAATGAGTAAAACATTGGAATGTTTTCCAACAACACACTGATTGGGTCTCTATCACACTGTAACAGTAATCAGAGACTAATGATGCTGTGGCGCTGAGTTTGAACTTTGATAGAAATTCTTGAATAGTTTCTGATTTATTTTTGTCACCTCATAAACTTAAAGCATGCAGAACATGATCTTGTTCCCTGGGAAGTAACTTTTCCAAAATTGGTAAAGTTTGTTTTTAATGTGCCATGAAAAAAGTTAACACACTTAGAAAGAGAAAATAAACAACTGTATTTTTTGGGTTTTTTAAAATGCAAATATAAGAAGTGAGTTATTCTACAAAATCCCCTTACCACACACATCATGGAATATTTTAGTAATTAACTAGGTTTCATACCATTTGTAATAGAAGCAGCGCTAACCTCTTCAGTCTTATTCTGTTTGTCTAGTTTCATCCTAGGTCAGATGAGGTCGCCTTTCTACAGAACCCTTTGTAGCCCAGACATTTGTAATTAAATATTTTTTTATAAGCTAAAGTTGGCCTCGATGTGCAAATGGCTTAAATAGTTGTAATAAAACAACTGTCCAACAGATTTTGATGCTTTAATCCACAGGTCAAGCAAGTTCACCTGTATGACATCTAACCTACTACCATTCCCCTAGGCCTTAAGATACAAGTCGGCCTATGTATAAAATTAGTGTGCATGTACATAAAGCTACTGATATGGGCATATCTGTCTCCCCTGTGTAGTAGTATATAGTGTGTATGTAGGTTCCTGGCTGCCTCATCATGTGGAACTGCCTAATGAGATAGACTGCCTCCAGTCATCTGTCCTAGACAGACCTAGTGGCAATGACCACCAACCCAAGAATGTAAGAGTAAACACGAAAACATTCCAACGCTATCATCCTCACAAACCCGGATATCCTCAGGAGGACATTCCTAAAAAAACATCACCACCCCACATGTCCTGTCATGCCATCTGTGATGTCATTATAAATCAGCTACGACAAGTTTAGACATCTCAAAATAATGACACATTGATCAGGGAATTTTTTCTGCAAGTAATTATGACCTGACAGTGTTTTACACTGGAAACAAGGGAATATAAGAAGCTGATGGTGCATCCTCACAGCTGTACCATTGCTAGGTAGAGCACTGTCTGGTATGTTAATAGGCCTACCAGCTGGAATGTTCAACTTAATATTGCCCTAGTTTTTTTTGTGACCCCTTTTTGTTTGATGTTTTTCGCTAATAGCTGTTGCATGGCCAAGTACAAAGTTGTTTTAAAGATGCACAGGTTCTAAAACCTAAACTTCAAAAAATAGCTTCAGTCAATCTGAATTATTAGTTGAATATATGCAGTCTCATACTGAAAATTAATGCTTTCAAATCAGGGGATATTTTTTATAAATCTTCCGCTAACTTTGAAGAAAGGACTAGGGATGTTATTAAGTGTTTCAATAAAATCAATTATGATTGACAATTACAAAAATATGTTATGTACCTAACATTAGAATAATGGATTACAGTGTATTTGTGAGATAAACCCAATCTATGAGTGCAAAGCTGAGGATTGTACATGTATAGTGATGTCCCTCCCCACTGAGACCTACCCCCTGACATTGCTCACTGAGTGACCATATATGTTACAGTACTGCACCTCATATTATTTTCGCATGCCTATAATTTGCTTTCCTAAAACTTGCCATTTTATAGAAATTTGATCCTGACAAGAATGTTTAAACAACACAGCTTATCCTAATCACATCTGTTCTCAATCCAGCCATGTGTAATCCCAGTCTATGAACCCTGATGCACCTCAAAATCCAACGCTTATCTCATACTGATGTGATTCATAGGAAATAACATAACCTTTACTCTGACCAAGTTCAGTACCGATTTCAACCAGACCGAGACATTCCTGGGCATCTACCACTGTAAAAATATGAGATGAAACTCATAAAGTAATATTTAAAATGTTTCTTGAATTATTCTGCAAATTTAATAGCACTGAAATAGTGATTCACAATGACACCATTACTAGGTGTACTTTATAATACCAGTAAAACACAATGCTATCACTGGTTGTACTGTAACAGGTCTGGACAGATAGAGGAGGTACAAACATTGACATTCTTTACTTACTGTAATTTTATGCTGACTGTCCAAAAAACGTGTTTTACTGTTTTCTAGCTTAATTAATTTCTCAAAAGTTGCAGTCTAAATTTAAACTAAGTTCTCAAGTGGTTGAGAGAAATGAGACAGGGGGAGAGGTCACTTATATCAAATGTGCAAGGATAGCTGCTAGGTAAACGATGGGTTGCACAAACTTAACAACTGTATCTCATGTTTAAAACAATAACAATTTGTCATCTGTCAGTTTTTGTACCTTTGCTCACCACTACAGGTAGTGTAAAAGCCATATATGTTCATCAACATTTTATGTATCACAGCCTTAAAAATGTTCTGCAGTTCTTGTTGAAACTGTTTGGCTTGAATTTCTCTAAGAAGTAAAGACTTGGGGAGCTAATAACCTCACAAATTAGGTTTTCAATATTCTTACCTGTTGGTCTGTTCCTTTCAGAATGGGCTAACCATACCCATTCTCTGCTAGGGGGCTGAGTGGAATTGACTGAAATGACAATAGAAACACAATATAAAACATTTAAGAGTTAAAAATCATAAACCTCGCTTAAAAAAGTTAACTATATCCAAAATAATCCCTCGGGGAAGGCTGCCCCACAAAGTTCCTAAACATAGTCTAGGCTGAGGTTGGCGTGTCCATCAGTTTTAACTCCTATAGATAGTCTCTTTGGGTGGGCTGCCCGATATTACCTCCCCATGAAGTCCCTTGGGTTGGGCTGTGCTATATTGTACACTTGGGATGGGGTGCCTGAAGTACAGTCCCTCAAGGTGGGGTGAGCTACAGTACAGGATTCCATGGTTGGGTGCACTATATAACAGCCCCTCTTGGTAGGGTGTGCTACACGCTGACAGAACACCAGCTTCCGTCAGTGAGATGAAACCCACATTGGTGGAATCATGTAGGCGAAAAACATGTCAACCAACCAACCTAGGGTGTGGTAATTAGATCAGGATCTCAGAGTTTGATGTTCTATAGTAAAGTCCCTCTGGGGTTGAGTGCATTGAAGTACATAGTCCCTCAGGGTGGGATGAACTAGATAACACAGTGTTCTTATGGACCAAAGGAGGAAAGACTTAAACATATTTATCCATACAGTGTAACAATGTAATAGCATCCTATTCTAAGGGACCAATATGGAAGGTAGGACCATTATACTGTCTGTCCCCTGTAATACAGAAGTTCAATGTGAAGGATAGCACTAGGATACAGTTCAGTGTACTGTCAATTTTCAAATTCCATCTGTTGACCCCAGTTGATATTTAACACATGAGGCCCAAGGGCTTTGAAATCGTCTTTTGGTCATTATGGAAATCAAGCCTCGATTTGCAGCTCCTTTTTTATGTGTCTTTTAAACCCCATAAATAAGCTACCAGAACAATTTGGTTGAAATCTGTCAAGTGCTTAAAAGGAGATGTCATTGAAAACAAGGAAAGGTATATGACAAGGCAATCCATAGTCCCCAAATGGTAATGATTTCTTTATTTACCAAGATGAACTATCTCAGAATATAGTGACACAATCTGTCAGTTAAGACATACATGCATAAAAAATCTGGTTATTCCAGGTAAAATAGTATAGAAGATATGCCTATGACAAACTTTATCAAAGGTTGAGGTCAAAGGTCAAACCATAGGTCACAGTGACCTACTTTTTATACTTGACACTCTGCCATCTGCTTACTCAAGGTGAGCTAAAAATGTGGTAAACCAGGAACAATTTGGGTACATATGTACTGTGATATAAGATGTCTTGCTACAGAGGTAACATTATATAGACAAAGAAGACAGACTGGCGGGATGAATAATATTTAAAACTTTAAAATTATGTCTGTATTCTTCTGTCGCTTGCAGGTAGATATATGATATGATCTGGCGTCAGGTGTCGGCACTAGAGGAGAGTTTAGTTTATAACAAGAAATAATATGAAATGTTCCGGATGATGACATTTAAATTCTCAATCAGTAAACAGGATATAAAACGTTAAGATTGTGGAAAAAATGTGCCCCGAGAGTAAAGATGTATAGAACAAAGCTTGAGCTTGAGGTCAGTGTAGAACAGCACTAACATGTGTCTATGACATGCTATAAATAATCAGAGCTCCACACATAAAATAGGTAGATAAATCATACAGCAGCTGCTGTCAAAATACACATCAATGGAAAAAAAGTATGTTCAGAATAAATTGAATTCGATGAAAAGAAACACAAAGGTTCTGAATTAATTGAACCCTGGCTTTATATGTTTATGGAAGAAATGAAGATTTTTAAACAGGTTTTTACCTGCATGGGCATCAATAAAGACTGAAGGCGGGTAGAAGTCAGTCATGTGGTAACACATGGCTTTATTGCGACTCTCACGCATATACAGGTACAACAGCAGGGTGGGGGGATTAGCTACACTTTTAACCTACATTTTTCAAAGGGTCAGTTACATAAGTAAATCATTTTAAAATTCACAACTAGAATGATCATATAAAGAGGTATGTAACCCTACCTTTGGCAGGTGGAGGCTGTGTGTTAATTAGGAAAAATGTGGGATTTGTTTCTAGGCCCCTTGGGCTCCAGAACACATAATTATGCATGCCTTTGATTGTAGGAAAAGAATCACTGAAGCATATGACCAGTTCCACGTATACTAATTGACTATCCATTATAAATTAATAAATGAACCTCATTACTGTCCCCTGGAAACATATCAATATTGAGGACATATACTACCAAGGTCATCACAGAATCAATTATACTCTACATTGCAGAGTTTTACATAGAAGACTGGTTACAGTGTTAATGCTCCTGGAGTACACGAAGACTGTGATGACAATTTTTAGTGTTGTTTATATATAGATATATGGACCGATGGCAATTGGCCCTAGAGAGAGCGCAAATGTATAGATTTGGCATGAAAGGAAATTACTGGAAAAAATATTGAAAATGACAGCCACTATAGCAATTACATATGGCATGAGCTGACTTGACAAGTCTATTATACTAGTAGATACATTTTTGATGTTACATGAAGAGAAAAATTGTTCATTGTACACGGAACACTGTAAATATTGTCAATTGAGTATATAAAAAAAAAAATCTTATTTGTGATCTGGCACTTAAGTGTAGTGGTTCAGAGGGAAATTAAACATTATATAGTAGTTTATCAGCTGGAACAGGAGTTAAAGATGCAGAAGGTTGATTCTTTTAGAAGGAAACCTGCTGAAGGTCTGATACACTCTGAACCATAGCTGGTGTCAATATTGATTGGGGATAACAACTTGCTGGGTGTTCCTGCTGCTTAAATACTGTGTTCCATCACTCAAGCAACTGTAAAGAGAACCACATACCCCAGATCAATACAAAATTTTCTGGTGCACTAACAGTCACCGGGTCATACACTTGCACCCCAGCACACGTATAAACCTGTACATAACCTTCAGCCAGGCACCAGGGCCTACACCCAACCACAGCAACAGACCGGCACATAACCTTCAGCCAGGCACCAGGGCCTCCACCCAACCCCAGCAACAAACCTGCACATAACCTTCAGCCAGGCGCCAGGGCTTACACCCAACCACAGCAACAAACCTGCACATAACCTTCAGCCAGGCACCAGGGCTTACACCCAACCACAGCAACAAAACTGTACATAAACTTCAGTCACGCACCAGGGCCTACACCCAACCACAGCAACAAAACTGTACATAAACTTCTGTCAGACACAAGGGCCTTTACCCAACCACAGCAACAAACCTGTTTGTAAACTTCAGCCACCCACTAGGGCCTACACCCGTCCACAGCAACAAATTTGTACATAAACTTTAGTCACGCACCAGGGCCTACACCCAACCACAGCAACAAACCTGTAAACTTTAGTCACACACCAGGGCCTACACCCAACCACAGCAACAAAACTGTACATAAACGTCAGTCACGCACCAGGGCCTACACCCTACCACAGCAACAAACCTGTAAACTTCAGTCACACACCAGGGCCTACACCCAACCACAGCAACAAACCTGTACATACACTTCAGTCACGCCCCAGTGCCTACACCTAACCACAGCAACAAACCTGTAAACTTTAGTCACACACCAGGGCCTACACCCAACCACAGCAACAAAACTGTACATAAACTTCTGTCAGACACAAGGGCCTTTACCCAACCACAGCAACAAACCTGTTTGTAAACTTCAGCCACCCACTAGGGCCTACACCCGTCCACAGCAACAAATTTGTACATAAACTTTAGTCACGCACCAGGGCCTACACCCAACCACAGCAACAAAACTGTACATAAACTTCAGTCAAGCACCAGGGCCTTCACCCAACCACAGCAACAAATCTGCACGTAAACTTCAGTCACGCACCAGGGCCTACATGCACACCCAACCACAGCAACAAACCTGTACATAAACTTCAGTCAAGCACCAGGGCCTTCACCCAACCACAGCAACAAATCTGTACGTAAACTTCAGTCACGCACCAGGGCCTACATGTACACCCAACCACAGCAACAAACCTGTACATAAACTTCAGTCAAGGACCAGGGCCTTCACCCAACCACAGCAACAAACCTGCACATAAACTTCAGTCACACACCAGGGCCTTCACCCAACCACAGCAACAAACATGTACATAAAAATCAGTCAAGCACCAGGGCCTTCACCCAACCACAGCAACAACTCTGTACGTAAACTTCAGTCACGCACCAGGGCCTACATGTCCACCCAACCACAGCAACAAACCTGTACATAAACTTCAGTCAAGCACCAGGGCCTATACCCAACCACACACAGCAAGCACCGTGCACATTACCTCAAGTCTGTCACCTGGGCCTACAGGTTGTACATCCCTATGCAGAAAACCCCCCTGCAAATTACCTAGAGCCTGGAACCAGGAATATGAACAAACCTGCACATTACCGCAATTCAGTCACCAGGGACAACACCCCAGCACAGGAACAATATATACATATAGCTACCTTGTTCAGAAATCAGGCTCTTCCTTATCACCTAAGCCCAAGGCAAAGTTTTATAATGACCAATGTTTATCATTGTCCACCACATACAATGAACTTTTGGCACTAGAGTGAATACACACCTTCTAAAATTTTGTAAAATAGATTTTGAATGGAGTCAAAATATGTGAACAGAAACAGAACAAATACCAGGTAGTAACTACAAGTTATATCTACATGGCCCATAAACAGTTTTGTTTAGATCCTATACCATCACAAACATCTGTACATCCTACTAAAGATGAGTTTATTGTTATTTATTATGGAATTATACAATTACCAAAACAAACAGCTGTGTATTATGGTAGAGCTAGACTACACATTATACACATGGGGGGTGTCTGATCAATATACATAGCAACAGATGGGGTGGTGTATAGTCTGCTGGTGTGTAGCAGGAAAATCTGGGGGTCGGAAACACCTGCTGCATCCACTGTCTCTTTTATCCATATATGTATTATACATCAGTCTAGTAGCACAGGTACACCTTTATTCACCATAAATTGACATGGATATACCACATTTCCCCATACATACATCAACATAACTACACTTGGGTGTATCCACTTACTTTATACTGCCAATATAGACCCTATAGATACAATGACAATTTTAAAGTTGAATTAGCAATGTTTTGGGGGAAATAAAATTCAAGTCATAAATGTTGTTTTCCATCATGTTAACCACTGGAAGGATTAGATATTTGCAGTGTTTTAGTACACAGATAGGACTATTATATGTATATACACATGTATTTCTTTTGCAAAACTAGTTGAATCAAAATTCTTTTGAGGGAGACTCAACTTCATATCATGATTATAATGTATACCAAGTTTCAAAGAGATCCGTTGAAAAATGTATGAGGAGATTGCCGGACAAAAGTCAAATACTGAATTAAACAAAGGGCAATAACTTTTGCAAAAATTGTGGAATCAAAATTCTTTTCAAGGAAACAACAACATATCATGATTATTTAGCCTACTAAGTTTCAAAGAAATATGTCAAAAAATGTAGGAGGAGATTGCCGGACAAACAAAAGTTTACGCCGGATGGAAGGGTTGACGGACATGTCAACCGCATACCATAATACTCTCGTCAAAATTTGACTGGCGTATAAAAAGGAGAAAGAAATCTTCTTTCTTGATGCAATTTCACTCTGTTTTTCTTAAGGATCCCTGTCCCATTGTATTGTGGTGTTTTGTATACCACCTACCCTTAACTACATACTGGATATAACAAGCACTTCTGTTGACTAGGTAGCTCAGTCAGTTCAAGTGTTAGTACAACAACCTGCAAGTCCAGCATTTAAATTCTGGTTTAGCCACGCTGAAAGTTTACACACACAACTCGGTTGCGGATTATTTAATTTTTTGTTTATTTTATCTTTATTTTTTTCCATAAAAGTCCCCGAAGGTATGATTTTCTTTCTAAAATGATTTATCAATTTTATAGTGAAAACAGTCTACTATGTAGTTTGAGTTTTTGGCAGGGGTACAGGGATTCTTATAAATAAAATTGAGAAAATAATAAGAAACTAGCCCAGGGAGGTGGATCAGTATGTCTGTAATAGCTGCAAATATAGCTATAAGGTTCTATTACGTTATTTGTACCGAACCCAACATCTATTTTATACTCGGACAGTGAACAGTATCAATTAATCTAAAAAATCTTCAACACAGAAAAAACTACCATTAACAAGGACAATTTTAAAAATATTTGACATTTATACAGTTCAACCTCTACCACAATTAACTAGAGCTGTAAAAACTCTACAGTCCCACTGACCTGGATTCAGTATTGTTCTGGCACAAACCCCAGGATTCACATAGCGACTGCTGCCATTGTATATACTATTACGACAGTAGATCTATATAACTTCCTAGTGATGACCACAACACAACCATTGATAGGTTATACCACTGTATATGAAATTTCCTCGTACCTAAAACAACTACAAACAATTCAGGCTTGCTATATAGCTACTTGAAACAATTTGGTAAAAATTCCCTTATCAGAACAAGAGAACATCAAGAAGTGGTATATAGACTATTCGGTAGTAAAAATGACTCAAAAACAAGCCTAAGGATATGAAAAAGACTTGCCTAAAAGTTTGGAAGATATGGTTGAGAGTTAATAGAAATTTTAGACCCGTCTGAGAGCTTGATACAACAAGAATGAATATCTGAGAATAAAAAGGAAAATTCTGATATAATTTTTTTTTCATTGCCACACACCTCTTTTTCATTGGGACAAATTATATAAGAGAAAAATAAGTTTTATTTTATTAAACAATAATTGCAGACTCCCTATGGTCACATTTGTACACATAATGTACCTGACCAGTTATACTTACAAGATCTTAGTTGGTGTGGGGGGATCATCTGTGTCTTTGGGACATTGTTTGCATCCAGAGGGGCGCTGTACATGGGAGGAGTGAGGCTGTAGAGGGGAGGGTACACGTAGGGCCAGTACCAGTGGGGCACAGACATGTGTGAAAAGTCGACCGAGTCAGAGGGGGGATCCCCCAAAACACCTGGATGCCACTCGGATACGGAATGATTCCTGGAAATTGCATAGTTGTTGTCAACAATGTGTGGTTGACCGATAATGCTTGATGAGTCGCTGTTGTCCAACATGGACCAACTTTGATCATAGTACACAGTAAATGTTACATCTGTACCCGTCAAATCAATATAAACACTGTCGGGGAACAGGTCTTGGCCGGATTTACCTCCCCTTCCAACAATGTCGATATCCAAGAGTTGTCTACCCCTAACTGATCTTTGGCCATTGTTCTTTGGATTTCTAGATTTGAATGGTTGAGCATTTTTGGATAATTTGGACTGAACAGGTGAGATGGCAGGGGAGACATCCGAGGAATCCGTTGATGATGTAACAGACACCTCTTCTCCCTCGGAATCTTGAACAGCAGTAGGCATGGTGAGAGGTGTAGAACTTGGTTCCTCACCCTCCTGGTCCTTGTGGAATTCAAAAGCGCTGTTGACATCGTTATAATAATATTGAGTATTATACATATCGGATAGACAATGGGGACATTCTGAGGGTGGGCAGTCAATCCGCACTAGGGGACACCCTGTTGTGAACAGAGCCAACTTCTCCAACTCATCTTTAGACATTTTGGAATTCTCTGAATTTTCATAAGAAACAGACTGATCGGAGTCCGACTGGATTTCAGAACTTGAGATTGTAGATCCATTTTCACTCTCCGTGTCTTCGGTTGTGACAGAACTTTTCTCACTGCTATTCAAGTCATTGCATATGACATCAACATTTTCACATTCGATGATGCTCCTTGGTCGGGAGCTGTCCTTTGTGTCGGTTCCATAGCTTGCATTATTGAGTACATAATTAGCCACTAGTTTGGAATTTGTGTTTTGGGCACTATGTGTAAAGTTTGTATATCTGTCTTTCTTATGGGACTTCTCTATCACAGAGATTAAGGCACTTAGATGTTTGACATCATGCTTTCGTTTAAGTTGTTTGGCGTTGGTGGTAATGTTGTCTCTACCCTGAGAACTATCCACTTCGTTGTCTACTGATACCTCCACGTCCTTGCATTTGACTACAGTTTCTGCTAGAGAGCGCTGTTTTTGTCTCAGAGCTGCCTTAAGAGAATCTTTTAACTGAATGACAATAGGAGTATTGGCTTTGGTTGGCTTCTGGCGAGATTTTTGTTTCCATTTAGGGCTGTTTCTTGATCGTTCTTTTTGGCACTTTTTACATGGAGGGGGGGTTGTGGTATGAGTTTTCAAAAAGTTTTTGACATAGGTGGACTCTACAGGCTCAACAGCGTCCATAATACTGACCACCTCACGCTTGACCACAGCCATTTTAGCCATGTATATTTCAATGACTGTCACTGACCTTAGTTAGCACCGCATTCTGTTTTAACCGGACCTCTCGGTTATTACTCGATGTGTCCTGTTATATTAGTAATGGTTTACTAGTCATCAGTGTATCACAAGACAAAGGCTTCACTACTACTAGGTAAGGCCATCCAAACACCTTCACAACTACAGCCACGAGTTCATAGTCTCACAACAAAGACCTACCTGTTGTAGCCAGTTAATCCATCAATTAGTACAAAAACACAATGTGATTTAAGTAGTGTTTCCACACAAAATCTACACAAGTTTCACTTAGTAGAGTTCAGGTAATGATCACACCAATAACAGTCTCACAGTAATGCCTATATATAGTGTAAAACTAGACAAAGAGCCAATCCTCATAGGGAATACACATGTTGTATACAATGACACAGATATCTCTCCACCCGAGACTTGTCCAGCGTGTAATGTCAGTTTATATAGTCTGCCTGTTGTACATCCTTCTCCTTCAACAGAAATCTACTGAATACTAGGGAAATTAGATCAACATTAGGATTTAGTTGAACGGTGACAATTTCCTGGTCTTTGTTCGGCCAGTGACATGTGCTCCAGTAAAGAGTCCAGTGGACACAAGGCCATTGCCCCAGTATTTGGTCAGTACCTTGGTCTGATGAAAAGGTCAGCAAGTGGTGTTAATACAGATGTCACCCTGTATAGAATGTTACATCACCACATCATTACACCTGTAATTGCTGATGATATCACTGCTTACTTATGTATTACACACACATCCTTCGAGCCATTTTCTCAGATACCATCACAAATCACAGCAAACAGTCCATATCTCAATCAAATCAAACCCAGACTTTTGTTTGGAAAATAAACTGGTATTTGGTAGGGCTGAGTGAGGTGAGGTGAGATGTCTAGCGTGTTGGTGTTCCCTGAGGGCTGTATCACACAGGGGTTAGAACACCAAGCCTAGCTAAGGTATACACAGTACTATTGGTAATGTAGGTATACACACGTGTAGCTCCAGTCCTGGTGTGGTTCACGCATGTCTGTGTTCAGTGGCGGGTATATCCATTCGAGTTCAGTAATCTGTGTATGATTAGCATACCAAGTGTGCATAAAGTCCTGTGCTTCGATCTCCTTTCTAACAATGCAAATCACTGAGTTGTTCAGATTAACAATGGCTAGGATTGTGTGGTAGTTTGCCTTAGAGGCTTACAGTTAAATGTTGATGATTAGTGTGTACCTGTTTAAGTCCGTTCACTGCCTTTACTGTAGATTTTCAGTCACTACTTCATAAGTCAATGTCCTTATTCACAGACCCTAGCTACTTTCCTTTTTGTGGCCCATGTGCTTTTAGTGGTAGGTAGTACACACTGATTAGTTTTATGAATGGCTGTGAGTAGGAGTTGTAGTAGTGTTGTTATCTTATCGGGTGTCAGCAGTTGTGAGATTCCTGACCTTGTACCTGATGACAACACTGACCTCTGTACTCCCCCACACTCCTAAATACTGAACACCATTGAGGGGCTAGGCTTAGGGAGGGGCTACGGATGAGTAACACTTTTCCCTACATGTAATCTTCTTAAATTCCTCAGCCAATCTGACTAAAGCTTGGCGCAGTTGTGACGTACAGATGTGGTGGTGAACAATTACGTATATTTCACATACCAACCTTGTTTTTCTAGTTATCTCAGTGTTAATGTTTTGTCTGTATATCACAACAAGATATCTATTATTCTCAGAAAAGCCTGGATATAGGGAGAAAGTAGCCACTTTGTTGATGTACAAGATACACAGGTAGAGATGCTCATTAATCAGTCATTATGATGTGTATACACAGGCAGACTGCTCCTTCATTAATCAGTCATTATGATGTGTGGCAGACCAACCAACATGTGCTGCCCATTACTGTGTGTACATGTGTCCCGGCCTCACCTCATGGAAGACTACATCATCCTCCCCTGTCCTGGAGGGGTCCTTTGTTGATGGTGACCTCGGTTAATGTACTTGCCCCTGAAGATGAGCCTACCTTTGACCATGTACACCAACAGATAACCACAGGAGGTGTATGTGTCCTATAGGTAGGCCCTACACATTGGCCTTACTAGCTATGATGTACTCCTGTATGTACACCACTACCTGGCCTATTTCCTAATTCCGGTGGTCAGCCAGTGCCAATGACCATGGTGTGCTGTGTTCCGGAGAGAGTGCCCCCAGCTGCCTCCCCTTACACAGGTCCTTAGACCTTCACAATAACAAATTCCATGATGGTTCCCACTTGTCATGCAACCAGCTCACCATCCCTCCACGATGCAAGGGAAATCACCTCAACTTCATGACATCACAAATGCTAATCAACATCTCCAGCATCCATAGCTAGTCACATGACCGACACCATTGCCAAAGAATAGTGCTGGTATTATACTGGTTTTTCTCCATCAATAGAGCAGCTGTATACAACATCCAATAATACAGCCTTCATTTCTTGTGTAGCAGTGTCCGTGAATAGAAAAGATTGTCAAATCTAAGGTTCAGTCAATAATTAGGGAAATTAAACCTGACTTATAACGGACACAGCATAAAAAGATCAAGGCTGTGACTGAAGATGGTTCAATCAATTTCTTACAAGTTATATATATATATTATTAAAACAACATACAAGTCTATATTATATTAGAGTATAAATTTCTAGGACATCATGCTTCTGAGGAGGGCCTGTGAGTCAGTACCATTGTGTGTATAAACTAGACCAGGAAATCAATACAGAGAAGCTCCAACAATATCAAAATGTCATTACAAGATTGATATTGTACTAAACATATTGTAAAACTATCTTTATCTGGAACATGGGAAACCTACAGCTGGCCTCATTCTACATGGGGGCTGTTCCTCTTTGCAATCAGAGGTCATCAACATCTATATTTCATCACTAAAATGTATAGAGGCCTCTCCTGCTCATATTTGTAACACATAAATTCATTGACAATACACAAGTTTGTCAGTGACTTATTTATAAATATTGCCAGGTGCAGACCTGCTGTCTTGACATGGGTCTGACAGATACCAGAGACAATGCTCGTAGATTAGGAGCTAACACCCATTGTATAAGTATATATGCACGTGCGGCAGCAACATCATTTTATGTGAAATCATACATGTGTGGCTCATGTACTGTATGTATATAGTGCTGTATCTCTGAACCATACATGTACTGTATGTATAAAGTGCTGTATCTCTGAACCATACATGTACTGTAAAAGTTCTGTTATCCAGAACATACATGTACTCAGCAGTGTTGTAATCCAGAACATATAGAGCTGTATTTTGGAGCATACATGTTCTGTACAGTGCTGTAGATTTGAATATTCATTAGAATGTACTGTATAATGAACAAATTGGAACTCTTCTTTGTTTGAGGTACAACACAGACCTTCTCTACCTTAAGTATTGGCAGATTGTGGTCAGATTTCACATCTGGCAAATTCAAACCTCTGTAAGTAGAAGTGCTTTATAGTACAAGTCTGATTTTCATTTTAAAATTTGACGTTTATGTGTTGTGATCCTATAGTGCAATCGGGTGAAACTGGTTTCGATTACAGACCACAATGCCACACATTAATCTACATGTGTATGCTAATCAAGTCCATTATCTTGAAAATTAGCATACACACACATTGATTGTGTTTAGTACAGGTAAAAGAACATTTGCCAACATATTTCATCAAATGTCCTATTGATTTCACTTTAACCAACTGTCGCTAAAAGTTTAGTTTGCAAACTGTCCCCAACTCCGAAACAGCATACTTCATAACTTATTACACCAGTAATATGTCAGCAACGAGAGCCGATGTGGTGTGTTACGACTATCAGTGTTACCGACACTGACTGATAAAGGACATGTATGGTGTATAGTGATGAGAGTTTTACTCTGTAGGTGATGATCACAGACCAATGTGCCATAGTGCTGACAGTGATGGCCTACTAAGTAATAATATCAAAAGTAATGCCATCCTCAAATCACCAACACAGTTCTGTGTGAACCATTCTAACTATAATGTGGGTGACCTTTTACACAGAATCTATATAGCATAGATGTAACTGATATAGTTCTGGGAACTACTACTTCACTAAAAACTTCCTGCTATATACACGTAATATAAGGAGACCTTTGTTCCCATTTTGATATGTATCGGTCCACTGCTTACCAAGTCAACAACACATGATCCTTCTTAGTTCACTCCCCTATAGTTGTGAGCATGCATTTAACAAAATGAGACAATGAATTGTACCTATATAGGATCTGAAATCTCAGATTACAAAACGTAATTGTTTTCCTTTTAACCATTCAAAGGTAAATTCTAAATCTTGAGATATTACATGTCAGTTTGATTTGTCAATTGAAATAGTTTGTGACAGTATATCCCTGATCTACTGTTCACATTTCTCATCTGCATATTCATAATTTATTAGGAGATATTTCAAAGAATAATGGTGAATATCCACAGTTACATAATCGTTCAATGCTTAAAGTCATTTTCAAAAGAAGTATTCCATAAATAGCACACGTTGCAATGAATACAAGTTCTTTGAAATTGGAATGTTCCTTTACCTTCGACAAAAAAAGTACCATGTAAGGTACTTCTTAACACAGGTACAGGTAACTTAAACAGGTAACACAATTTGCATACCTGTCCATGTTTGGAAGGTCCATAAACTTAGAACTTTATCCATAATCCAGGTTTTCTCTGTAAAGTTAGGCATTTGATTCCTTTCAAAGATTATACAAACATTCAATTTCAATAGATCCTAGACACAATCTTGAAGAGCTGTTTGGACACCTACAGAAAGGGGCAGTTAGGGGTGGTTTGGACACAAAAATCAGCCTATTTCACCCTTTTGACATAGCCTACAAGGATTTTTGTCTTTATCAGAATACCATGCATAGTCTCAACTATGGCAACATTATCAACAATTTAGGAACCCAGAGACCTTCCAATGATCAAGGTGACAAAGTCTACTAGGGGTGTCAGCAAGATAACCATATTAGCATTGTACTCCACAGAAACACTCTAAAATAGGAAGAATGACATCCTGAAACATCTGTAGGCTATTTTTATTACGGCCAATCAGGGGGAGCACTGTGACAAACCAGTTACGTGAACATGAATCTGATGTCATAATCTTCTATTATCGAAACATCTGATCACAACTTTCACTTGGGTAAACAAATTTATATTTAGCTTACTAGCCAGCAGATTTTGTAAGTTTTACATAGCCAAGTATGACTTTAATTGTGAAATAAATATTGAAAAATTGTCCTTGCCCTAACATATAAAATACAGCTCAGGCTAATAGATTTGCAAAATCTGCCTGCAGGTTAGTACTAGAAAAATGAACTTTTACATTCCTGTCACATCAAACACATCAGTGAAGAGTTCATGTTGATAACAAGATTTTCAAAATAGTTGCCATGGTCGATATTGGAATACATGGCCAGTCCAATATGCAGTTTTGACTAATTACAAAGTGTTCCAATCCTGTGTAGATCAGATCTACTAACCACTCATAACCAGGCCCCGTAGAAATATAAAGATGTAGATATGTGGAAAAATAAATATTGATGTTTTTATGCTGAACAGAAGTTGACTGATCATCTGTGGTTTTCCTTAGTATGATCAGGTCAACAACCTTGGCAGTCAGTTCATTCTTATAAGGTCAAATGAGGTAAAGCAATAGCTACTGTATAAATTGCATACAAACAACAAAACAAATTGAATATACCGATTACTGAAATTAAGCACAAACTATCAAGACCTAGGCTAAATGACAATCACTGACTGGTATGAAGTTCATCCAGCATTGTCATCTTCATGAACTTGGTGAACTTGGTGAACCTGTTGAGGAGTTCACTGTCTTGACAAGTTCACTGTCTTGACAAGTTCAATGTCTTGACAAGTTCACTGTCTACCCAGGGTGTCAAACATGATATTCATCACCATTTTCAATTATTTATACCTATAGTAACATGATGGTTTAATGATGCCCCTGATCAAACACATGTGGTTAAATCAAGCTTTAATGAACCATTCATCATTAAACAATCAATCTGTGCAACGTCAAAACTTCACTAATGACATCATTAATGTTTAATGATGGTTTATAATATATATACAGCATTTGATATAGCGCCCTATCTAGCTAACATAAGCCACTCTAAAGCGTTTTACAGTACATACAATGTAGATATACAATCAATGCATTATTTAATTCAATATTAACTTTTAATAATAACTCAAGTAGCAAGACCCAGGTCTTCACTGGTTAAGATTTATATCAAAACAGGTTGGTATAAACTATTGACTTTAAATTTGCTAACTGTGATCCACAGGTCAGATACTCCATCAACCCCACAACCCTGACAGCCAGCCCCAGGCCAGGAGCCTGCTTCAGGAAGTGTATACACCCATTCCTCTATCTGGTGGCTCATCCCGGTGGGATGGCAACAGCCTTATACCACAGACAAGATCAGGTCAACTTCAGTGAAAAACACTTTTTTTTCATTAACCCTCGGAGATAAACTATTGACTTTGATTATCTTACAATAGGTATTACACCTGGCACTTTATATCTCACCTCTATTTAAATTGCTTCCTAATATAGCCCTTAAATTCTGAACTAGATTTCAGACACCCCTAGGAATAACAAATGTTAACGAGTAAAATCATGTCTGCCACACACTGTTAAGAGTTTTAGCATTATAATTAGGAAATAAATGAAATTTTAAACTTTCATATTTTTTGTTGATTTTGATAATAACCAAAGTTGTGCATGTTTTCTACTTGTTCATTAAACTTGAGGTACAACTTCAAAGATGGAACAGCAACAGCCTTCGTCGGCTATCGCCGCCAAGGTCTCTATGATATCAAAAGCAGTCAGAATCATCACATCAGAGTTACAAACTGTAATCATACTATTTTAACTCATTTTCAAATTTTAACACATAATCACATTGATTAATTGCAATAAATAACAATATACAGAAACTTCCATTAGCGCAGTCATATGTTAGCGCAATAATGAAAGCCCAAAAAGCTCTAAAACAAGATCACCACCAAAATCGCACAGCTGATTTTGATAGGTTTATATATATAGTGACAATAAATATCAATATATGAATAAATACATTGCCGAGTTTGAACATCTCAATAAACATATCACCTGACACTATATAACATATACACATACACTGGACTGGGAGTACCTCTCCAGAAACATTACACCTGATACTGGCTGTTCCTCAATAGATTTACATACCAATGCTTTAATGTTAACACACAAG